ACAAGCTATTAGGGGTTTCTTTCTCTATTAGGTTTATTCTATGATTGAAAGTATCAAAACAAAAAAAAATAAATCTCATAAACATTTGAATAACATATTAACACTTTAATTTCCCAAGGAGGTATTGCATCTTTCAAAAGTATTTTGGCGCGTAATTCAAATTCCATAATATGGATTGCTATAACGCTAACATCCCCGCCAAATTGGCAATAATGGCAATTTCACAAATCTTAATAAGCGTATAGCAACCTGAACAATGATCCCAAAAACATCAATGAAAACAATGCCTTTTAAAAGTTATGCAGAACAGTTCTTGTGTGAGGCTGCTTTCCTTAGACAAAATTGGTAATTCACAAATCTTGTAACCCGTTTACTACATTTATACAGACATTATAAATGTATTAAATGGGTTACTAGATTTGTTTGATCCATATTATGGAGTTTGAATTACGCTAACACACACATATGCATATTTAGTTTATCAGTTATTGCTCATTCCTCCTTTGCATTTCCCTTATCAACAATATGCAGTTTATGTTGCAATATTAACTGGTTTTGCCATATCATTTATTCACCAAGCCTGCAACGATAACACACGCCAAATTTTTCCAAGGCGAAAATCAGTCTTCAGTCAGCATAGTTTTATACGTTACGCTTGAGTCGTATTGGATTTGAATAAAGATGAATTTTGCTGAAAAAAATATACAAGAAATTCTTTAGATGCTATTATGATACATTTCCAGTTTTCAGTAAAACAGATGGACACATCCGCAGGCATGTGAAAGTAAAGATGTAAAAAATCCAAGATATTTCATTTTTTAATTCCATGCTAATCCCGAAACACACAAAAAATATATATTCTGGTTTGTTCTCGTTCCCAAAATCCTGGATACTCAAGGATAAAATGTATTGATCTTAAATCTCTCGCCTAAGACATATTAGACGACGGTGTAGCGGATCTTGAAACCTTGGCTACGACGCCTCCCGGAGTAGACGAGGTCGAGGTGAGGGGCGCCGGAGTCTTCTTCCCGCAGATGTTGCTGTTCTCTCGAATGCACGACCTGGTTCCTCGCGTGTCGACGACCAGGTAGTTCCCAGGTAGTTTTTGGACTAGCGAGTCGAATGCTTGATGAAGTAGAGTCTGACCCTGGAGCCATTCGGGGCCTAGAGAAGAGGAATGGCGGAACAGAATCGGTGGAAGAAGGAACCAATAACAGAAGGATAGAAGGATACCGAGAACCAAGAAGTCAGCGAAGTAAATTAGTCTTTCAGATTATGAATTCCTGATGATACTACATAACAGAAGCTGAATAGAAGAGAAGAAACCAGTATTCATTTGTTTGACATTGCGTATGTGACAGGCAGCTCTACGAGATAAGAGAGAGACTCACAAGAATCCACCACTCGCAACCGGCACAGCTGAAGTGACGCTTCGGGTAACGTCGGGTGCGGATGACGCCCGTGTCACCAAGGCTTCCGGTCACAATTTTCTGTCAGACATAAGATATGACAGTAAAAAAAAATAGCAGACGTGTCACACCACAGAAATTATCAACCATTGCTGCTATTCCTTCACTGTCACACACGTCAGATGTTCCTTACCATGTGACACGAAGTCTGTTTACTCGCGATGGTAATATATCCCGGGCGGGGTGACGGCAGAGTTGGTCCTGAACTTCATCTCAAACTTGTAATTTGGTACCTTGAAAGATCCAGATCGGGAACCACACATTCTGAAATTTCATCTAATTAATTGCTTGTGTAATATTTTTCGAAGAGTTTGTTTCCTTCTAGTCAAACTATGATAAAGCTGTAGTATATGCAAGTATCTTGAGTGTTGCAAGACAAAGAACTCATCACTGTCTTTATCTCATTGATTCAATTCACATAGGCCTCACGCTGACTGAACATACTTTTTCTTCCTGCTGTAAGGAAGGTCAAGCTCCACGAAATCTCTGCAACCTGGTTTTGTCTTCGGTTGCAGTTCGAAGGAATTGAAGATGAACCGCGCCGACGTCGGTGTATTTTGGGACCATGGGACAAAGAGGAGGTGGAAGTGGATTTTCTTACTAGGATTTCTGAAGCAATAATTGTTTATGAGAGGAAGTAATTGACAAGGAGCATGTAGATCGAGGGAGAAAGAGGGAGGAAGGAGGAGAGAGAGAATAAAAAAAAGAGAGACAGAGACATATACAAACAAACAAACAGGCAGAAATATATGAGTACAAAACCCATACACTTACCGCATACACCCTAACGCTGCAAGCAAAGTCATTGGGATAATTCTGTTCACCGAAATTGGGAGGTCCATTCGTAGCCATTCTCGCCTGAGCGCAACTGGCAGACGGCCTGCGCTGCTGTGGTCGTTGCAACAGACGCTGTCGTTGTTGGAGTCGTAGTAGTGTAGTAGTAGTGTGGTAGTGGTAGTAGTGTTGTCGTAGGAGTTGTTGTTGTCGTAGGAGTTGTTGTAGTAGTTGTTGTTGACGTAGGGTTGTTGTTTAGGAGTTGTTGTCGTCATTGTGGGTAGTTGGTCGTTGCTGGAGAAGTTGTAGTAGCCGTAGGGGTGCATCCTGGCTTGGGAATGAAGGTGACGTCGGCTGTCCATCCCGAGTAGAAGTTGGTCCGGGTCTCGAAGCAGAAGAACAGCTCCTGGCCCGCCGCGCCGCCTGGAAGAAGCGCCCCGGCACGATCTCTTCGCCGCAGAACCTGGGGATTCATTATCATCTTTATTGTTGATGTTGCTGGTCATTCTGATTATTCTTGTTGTTGGTGATGATGTTGTTGTTATCATTATTATTATTTCTTTTATCATCAATATTATTGTTATTATCAGTAGCATTATTATGATTATTATTATTACTATATCCTCATATTATTATTAATTATCCTCATATTATTATTACTATTATTATCATTCATTACCATCGTTATTTATTATCATTACCATTATTACAGTTAAGGTGAAGGTGTGTTAGCAAATCTCATCTTTCTCACTGCAGACTGAAATAACAGATAACACTCCCAAGAAATGTCGAATTATTCTAAATCTACTTTGTATTTCCTTCACCTTTCTGAGCAAAGGCGTCGTTGGGATCTGGAAACACGGGCGTCTCAGTCAAGACTAAGGATCTTCGGGTTTTTGCCTGATTGTTGCAGTAAATTTAAGTAATTAATTTCAGGGATACTATGAGACAGACTGATTAATTAGAATTAAATCCTTTGAATACACACACACACCACACACACACACACACACACACACACACACACACACACACACACACACACACATATATATATATATATAATATATATATATATATATATATATATATATATATATATATATATATATATTTATATATATGTCCTCTTTTGTTTGCCATGTGAGCGAGGTTATGCACGTGTGGTACACTGACAGCCTATGCACTCACCCCACTGACCGAAGCCGATGGTGTAAGCCACCCTGAGCCCGTCGTAGTAGCAGCAGGAGGTCCCGTCGCTGCAGGTGACGCGGCCGTACAGCCTGAAGGAACGGAACGTCACTCGCGGAGAGTATCACTCGGGGGCGACGATCTTCTTGGTGCATTTGGTGCCTAAGGGGAAGAAGACCTCTTGGTAAGCCGGGGAAGG